GGAGACAAGAGAAAAATCTAATCCAAAGCCCATTCTGGCCATGGGGGACATTGAAGACTGAGGGGGTCAGGGCTCAATACTGCTCAGCCCCGTGAGCCCATGGTAAATATCCAAGTCAGGGGCCACCCTATAAGGTTCCTAGTTGATACCGGAGCTGCCCATTCTGTCCTAACCCAGCCACAAGGGCCACTCTCAGCTGTTAAAACTGTCATCCAAGGGGCAACGGGAAGCCTAAATAAACTTTACCCCTGGACAACCAAACGGACTGTCAATCTAGGGGCCCAAACGGTTACTCATTCATTCCTAATAATACCAGAATGCCCCTACCCGCTTCTGGGCCGGAACCTTCTCTGAAAACTGGGGGCGCAGATCTCATTTTTGGAGGAAGAGGCCACTCTAAGTTTTGGCCACCCAGTCAAGATCTTAATTACCTATCCTATCTCTGCAGAATACTTAATCTAACCAGAGGATCCCCCAGTTCCCTCTCAGACCCTCCTCAAGGAGTTCCAAGACCTTTACCCGCTGGTCTTGGCAGAGTCCAATCCACCAGGGCTGGCAGCCCACCAGACACCCATAGTAGTTACCCTAAAGACATCTGCAACCCCAGTAGCAATCAGGCAGTACCCCATTAAGTCAGAAGTCAGGATGAAAATAAGTCAGCATATTCGACCGCTTTTAGACACCTGAATTCTCTGGCCTTGCACCTCTCCTTGGAATACTCCCCTCCTTCCAATTCTTAAGGCAGATACCCAAGACTACCGACCAGTACAGGACATGCAGGAAGTCATCAAAAGGGTGGAAACAATCCATCCCACTGTGCCTAATCCGTACACACTGCTCAGCCTGCTTCCACCGGACCACCAGGTATACACAGTCCTCGACCTGAAGGATGCCTTCTTCAGCATTCCCTTGGCACCAGTGAGTCAACCCCTCTTTGCTTTTGAATGGACAGACCCCAAGAGGGGTATCTCAGGTCAGCTAACCTGGACACGGTTGCCCCAGGGGTTCAAGAATTCCCCCACCCTTTTCGATGAGGCTTTAAACAAGCACCTCAGTGACTTCCAAAAGGAGCACAGGGGAGTCACCCTACTTCAATATGTAGATGACCTCCTCCTGGCAACCCAGGACTTTGAGACTTGTAAACAAGCCATGGGGGCCCTCCTACAGACCCTACAAACATTGGGGTATAGGGTATCTGCTAAGAAAGCACAACTCTGGACTCCCTCAGTAACCTACTTAGGTTACAACATTACCCAGGGAAAACAGGCCCTCTCAGCCCGGCGAGTTCAAGCCATTACGCATATCCCCACTCCAACCACCAAGCGCCAGGTCCAGGAGTCCTTCAGTGCTGTAGGATATTGCCAGCTATGGATTCTTGGGTTCACAGAGCTCACCAAACCCCTATACTCAGCTACCGCAGGGGGAGACTCACTGCTCATATGGACAACCAAGGCTGATGCTGCTTTTAAAGCACTAAAGCAGGCCCTCATCTCAACCTCTACTCTTGCTCTCCCCGATGTCACCAAGCCTTTTCATCTGTTTGTAGCTGAGAGGAACGCCATTGCAAAAGGGGTCCTAATGCAGACTCTGAGCCCCTGGAAGAAGCCGGTTGTCTATCTCTCAAAAAAGCTGAACCCCGTTGCCTCAGGCTGGCCCTCTTGCCTTCAGGCCATAGCCGCAACGGCAATGCTTGTCCGGGAAACTGACAAGCTCACCTTTGGTCAGGACTTACATGTTACTAGCCTACACACAGTGGAGTCTTTGTTGAGAGGAGCCCCCAGCCAATGGCTCTCAAACGCTAGACTAACTCAATATCAGGCTCCCCTCCTCGATCAACCCCAGCTAAGATTTCAGAAGGAGACTACCCTCAACCCGGCCACCCTACTCCCTGACTCGGATCCTGCTGCAGCTCTGCTCCATTCCTGTCTTGAGGTCATCTCTCAGACCTGCCTGGCAAGGCCCGACCTAACAGATGTACCACTACCTACGCCGGATGAGGTACTTTTCACAGATGGAAGCAGTTATGTCAAAGATGGAGTCAGGTATGCCGGGGTTGCGGTGGTCTCCCAGACTGGGCAAGTTAGATGGTCCCAGACTCTACCCAGGGGCTCCTTGGCCCAGAAGGCTGAACTCATAGCCCTCACTCAGGCCCTCAGGATCGGAAAGAATAAGGCCATCAACATCTATACAAATAGCAGGTATGCTTTTGCCACTGTTTACATCCATGGGGAGATTTATAAAAACAGAGGCCTCCTAACATCAAAGGACAGAGCAATCAAAAACAAGGAAGACATTCTGGCTCTCTTAGAAGCCGTTTGGGACCCAAAAGCTGTTGCAATACTACATTGCAGAGGACACCAGAAAGACATGAGCCCTGAAGCCATTGGGAACCAGGCGGCAGATCAAGCCACTTGGGAAGCTGCCATAAGACCAGTGGGGCCAATTAATATCATGACTACCCAACTATTAGAATATCTCCCTAAGACCCCCACATACACTGAGGAGGAGCGTCAGTCATTCCTGTCACAACACGCCCGCCTCCAGCTGGATGGTTGGTTTCGGGCCCTGGATGATTGACTTTGCCTACCCAAAGCTTTGGGAAGACAGCTCCTAACACAGCTCCATCAGCTTACCCACCTCGGGGCATGGAAACTCAGGTAGCTAGTTCGTTCCAAATTTAAGGTTCCGGACCTCTTAGCCACCACTCAGGATATCACCTCAAGGTGCCTTGCCTGTGCCAAAGTCAATGCCAGCCCTCACCCATGGCAGCTTGGAACTCGATTCTATGGGAGCCACCCTGGAGAGCACTGGGAAATTGATTTCACTGAGGTCCGCACCTCCAAATATAATTACAAATATCTCTTAGTATTTGTTGACTCTTTTTCAGGATGGGTTGAAGCATACCCCACTAGGATGGAAACTGCCTCCATCGTCACATAAAACTTCTCCAGGAGCTCATCCCCCGATTCGGCCTGCCCCGATACCTGGGGTCCAACAATGGTCTGGCCTTCACAGCCAATATCTCTCAATTACTGACCAAGGCCCTCCACATTACCTGGAGACTTCACTGCACCTACCGGCCACAAAGCTCAGGGCAAGTTGAACGGATGAATAGGACCTTAAAAGAGACTCTTACTAAATTTGTTTTAGAGACTGGTGCTGGGTGGCCAGACTTGCTCCCCTTGGCCTTGCTACGTGCCCAATGCACCCCATACCGGGCTGGTTTCTCCCCTTTTGAAATCCTATACAGAAGGCCTCCCCCTCTCCTCCCTCAGTTGGAAATTGAGATTTTATCTGAGGCCTCTAATCACTTTTTAATTCAGTTGCTCCAAGCCTTACAGACACTCCAGACTAAGTTGTGGCTGATCATAAAAGCCACAGACAACGGGCCCATCCAGCCCCACCCATTCCTGCCTGGAGACACACCCTGGTTTGACGCATCCCCTCCAAAATGCTTGAGCCGACCTGGAAAGGACCCTACGTTGTCACTTTGACTACCCCCGCCGCACACAAGGTTGCTGGTATCCCTGCCTGGATACACCATACCCAAGTCAAACCTGCCCCACCGGACACCAGAGAAAGACAGAAAGTACGCAGCAGCCCTGGCGACCACAAGATAAGACTTGGGCGGGTCCCCTCTTGATCTTCCTTCTCTTTGCCATATATTTCTCAATGGGTCTACCCTTCCCAATACCTAACCCACATGCTCCTAATCTATTCAGATGGGAACTCAACGCAACTAGCACAGGCCAGATTTTTACCTCTCTCTCGGTCTCAGGGACAGTCTATATCTCTAATCACTGACCTATGTCAACTTGACAACCCTTGGGAGTTACAGGGAACCACATTTCATCGTGGGGGCCCCGGAGAGGTCTCATGTCACTATAGAGCTAGCTGTCTCTCCCTTGTCGGCCAAAAGCCACTTTGGGGAACTCAGTTCTATGCCTGCCTGGCAAGCGGGCCACCTCACTGTAACACCCAGGGTGCATATTTCTGTGCTTCATGGAACTGTGTGACCACAGCCTCCTGGAAAAATAATGATGAATACATCCTCATTAGTCTTACCAGCAACAGGTCTTGCACTGTAGAAAACACCTGTAACTCCCTTAATATCACCATACTTCAGCCTGATTCCAAGTCATGGGAAAAGGGGAAAACCTGGGGCTTCCGTCTCTATGTCTCTGGACTGGACTTAGGCACCCAGTTTACTATCCAAAAATTTGAATTCCATAGTCCCCTGCAACCTACAGTTCCCAATAAGGATATCAGTCTCCCCATTATGGCTTTTCCGCCACTCCCAGCCCTTTCTAACTGCCTCCTTACCCACGATCCCCTGAAGAGAGGACCGACACCACACTCTCAAATACTGGCCAACTCAAAATTACCCCCACGAGTTTACCTGCCACCCCGTCTCCAAACCCTCGACCCTCTCCACTCTTCCAGATATTAACCTCAATACATGTCCTCCTCAACTCTACGAACGCTGAAGAGGCCCAAGACTGCTGGCTCTGCCTAGACCCCAAGCCACCTTATCTAGGCTTTGGCACTGTTAACTCTTCTCTCCATCTTGTCCCTCAGACCAACTGTACATGGACCCACCCATCTCTCACTCTGGATAACATTCAAGGGCAGGGCACCTGCATTTTTGGCCAAATCTACTCTCTCCATACTTCCCCCTATGCTCACCTCTGCAACTCTACTATATGATTCAATGATTCCTACATAGAGGCCATTATCCCCTCCAAATACAGGCTCCACCCGATACCTGGTTTGCTTACACTAATGGTATTACCAAATGTATTGATCAATGGCTCCTCCATTCTGACACATCCCCTCCTGTATTCTCCTACCTGGCATATATTCCCACCACAGGTCCAATATTACAGTGGTGAAGGTGGGAGGGAACATCTAGCCCTCCTTTCCACCCGCTATAGGCAAGCAACCCCTATACTAGTCCCACTCCTGGTTGGTCTTGGCACTGCGGGTGGCTGTTGGGACCTCCTCCCTTATTGTCCAGGACCGAAATTTCAGGTCCCTTAGCCACCAGGTTTACCAGGACTTAGGATAGCTAGAAAACTCCATATCTTGCCTTGAGAATCAGGATGACTCTCTCACCGAGGTTGTCTTTCAGAATAGGAGGGGACTAGATCTCCTCTTTCTAAAGCAAGGCGGTCTCTGTGTTGCCCTGGGAGAGACGTGCTGCTTTTATGCTAACCAATCGGGAGTCATCCGAGACACTTTAGCCTTAGTAAGGGCCAATCTTAAAAATAAATGTATCACCCAAAATAACCAACAAAACTGGTACCAGTCACTTTTTAACTGGTCTCCTTGGCTCACAACCCTCATCTCTGCCCTGGCAGGACCGTTTGTTCTTCTTCTCCTCGCCTTCCTTGTTGGACCCTGTTTCCTAAATGCTCTCACTTCTTTTGTTCATCGGCCTGTCAGTCAAGTCAAGCTCCTAGTCCTCCGCCGTCAATACTCTCCCCTCCAGGACTCTGAGTCAATGATTTTATTTCTTACATAAGACCAGTGGGGAATGTGAGGACCAAGGCCCAGACCCTAGGCCAAACAAGCTATACCTTAGACCAGACAGGCTCCATCTTAGAAATAACCCCACCCTAAGGAATAA